AGGCAGGCTTCCGCTGTGGATTCTCAACAACAGATCAAATCCACACGCTCACCCAAATAAGAGAAAAAATAAACGAATATAGGAAACCCGTGAATGGCATTCATCGATTACGAAAAGACATTTGGTACAAATACCAGCAGTACTAGAAGCTTTTCGAAGACAAGGAGTAGAGAAGGTATGTTGTAAAATATTGGAAGATATATATAGGAAGATGAGACAGCAACCATCAAACTCCACACAGAAACCGATAAAATACCAATTAAAGAATGTGTTAGAGAGTTTCTCAGTCTCTCACCAAAACTGTTTATAGCTTGCTTTAGTGAAATATTCAAGAAAGGTTATCACAATAGGAGAATGCCCAAACAGTCTAAGATTTACAGATGATATTGTTCTCTTCAGTGAAACTGCAAATTAAATGCAACAAGTAAAAGACTAAGCTTTGAACATATACATATATAAGGCGAAGCTCTAGAGGTAGTGGTCAAGTATATATATATATATATATATATATATATATATATATATATATATATATATATATATATATAAATATATATATATATATATATATATATATATATATATATATATATATATATATATATATATGTATGTATATGTATATATATACATATATATATATATATATATATATATATATATATATATATATATATATATATATATATATACTCGTACAGACAAACACACCTAGCAAAGAGGAAATTAGGCCACTAAGACGCTCCTTGCCATTATGTTTACAAAGGAAAGTCTTCAACCAATGCGCCCTTCCAGTTAAGACCTGTGGATCAGGGATGGAGAGGTTGATGCTAGGAATTAGCCTAAGAGATCAGATGAGGCCGACATGGATCAGGGAACAGACATAAGTGGAAGATATACTTGGGAGCATCAAAAAGAAATGGGCAGGTCATATATGTTGGAGACAGGGCAACAGATGGACAAAGAAAGTAACAGATAACATAAAGGCATAAAGAAACCAAGGACCAGACCAATGACAAGATAGCGTGACGAAATACCGAAATTTGAGGGCCAAGACTAGAAACAAAAAAGGCAAGACACACGAAGTTGGATGTATAAGTATATATTGATGTATATATATATATGTATGGATATAAATTTTTACAGATATATTTAAAACGATATAGATTAACATATACATACATATATATATATATATATATATATATATATATATATATATATATATATTTATATATTTATATGTATATATACATATATATAATATAGGTATGTATATATGTACATATATATATACATGTGTATGTATATATATATATATATATATATATATATATACTTATACATATATATGTATATATACATATATATGAAAATACATATGTAATATATATATTTAGGCCTCTCGCGATTGGCTCGCTCACCGTTTGAGGAACGCGGGTATCGGCCTTTACATCGGCGCGGCACATGTGTGTTTCCTGTGGTGTGTTTCCGTTGACCTGACCGCTCTGCTACCCTTAAATCGAACCCTGACATATTTATATATATATATATATATATACTTCGGCGTAGGGGCATTTAAAATTTAGGGGGGGCTGCAAATTTTCTGCCCGAGTGAAAAAGGAAGAAAAATTTCACCTGCCACAAAATTTGATGAATACCACCAGTGGCGTAGATAGAGGGGTTGGGGTGGGGTGGGGGGGGGGCGAAAAACCCACCTAGAAGGCTAAACTGCCATTTTGTCGGAAAATTTCTGCACTTGTTGGAAAAATAACGATGGTTTTCTGTTTCTTTTAGTTCTAGTGGCCTTATGTTATATTCAATTTTTTGTCGGGATATCTTCATTTCTCGCCCCCCCTATGAATTTTCCTATCTACGTCCCTGCTCAAAATTTCCCAAATTCAACCAGCATTTACCCGACTGGGGGGGCTGCAGACCCCCCAGCCCCCCTGGCTCCTACGCCTATGTATACATATAGATATATATATATATATATATATATATATATATATATATATATATACATATATATATATATATATATATACACACCTGACATTATACTTTTTGTGCAACGTTCATGACGTTTATATGTCTCTCTCTCTCTCTCTCTCTCTGTCTCAATGTCAATATAATTTTTGTTGATGTTATTCTACCCATAACAACAACAAAAATGATAAACATGGTCGCCAACGTCAGGCTCTGATACATCCGTATCTCATATATATTACTTGTGACATGTATTACATGTTTGTATTTAGTATATGGATTTATGTGGTGCATTTTTTTTATTTTGAAAAACGACTATGAATTTAATATATATATATACATATATATATATCGCGCTCTGACTGCTACCTCGAGCGCGAGAGAACGATGTATCGGCTTGAGAAGTCAAACGCAAGTGTCGTAGGGGAAGTCACCGCCGTGGCACAAGTGTTAACGCGCCGAACCGCGCTTGATTAGGAAGGGCATTTAATCAGGCAAGGGTGACATTGCCATATGACCTCTCAATACTGAATTGAGAGAGGCCTATGTCCTGCAGTGGAAAGAATGGCTGTTGAAAAAAAAAATATATATATATATCGTATTCAAGGATTCAGTTATTAGTCCTTGAAATTTTAATTAGTTTGTAGTTTCTCTTATTAAATCTATAAATCCAATATGTTACTGTCCATTTTTGCCGTATACGATCATAACAAATACTGTCAGACGGTCCATGTCAGCATTAATACTTCTACAAACATGTTTGACAATACAACAATCTTTTTTCTGGCGTAGGTTGAAGGATGGCAAGCAACTCATGGAAAGCGATCACATTAAGTTCACGAAGGAGTCTGACACAGTGTTTGCCTTCAAGATCGACAGCATGCAGATGGACGACTGCTGTACATACACGGTAAGTCGGAAATACAAAGAGGGAATTCTAACACTATACGTTCGTAAATACGATCTTTCATAAGTGGAGCTCTAAATCCCAGTGATTGTTAGCATTCGCTTTACAGTGCCCATAAGATATATTATTCCTTCGGCTGCCATATTTAATATTTGTTTAAGACTTCAAATTATCCTACTCTTCGGGCAGTCACATTCCATCTCCAATTGAGAGGGAAGTGTACACACTCTATCCGATTTCTATTTGATAGTTTAGTCTTCTTGTTCTGCGTTGCGCATGCAGCAATAAAGTTTCTGTTTACAAGTAATTTCATGTTCCTGTAACTATACGTTAAATATACAGAGTCTTTCCTATGGAAATACAGACTTTTTTCAACGTTTCATTGTCTTTGTAACTTAATTAAGAAAATCATACCTAGAATTCGAAAGGGCAGCCCGTACAGCGATAATATACAATGACTTGAAACTCCAATCGGTATATACCATAAAGAATGTCCCTGAATTCCAAGGTCCACACAATTTTTGTTGACAAAGCGAGTGTCCTTCCGCAGGTCGTGGCCAGCAACCCCATGGGCCAGGTGTCCGAGTTCTTCACCATCGCCACAGACGCAGCTCCTCAGATCACCCGCGGCCTCGACCCCGAGATCGAGAAGCGATACACCTACGACATCGCCCTTGAAGTCCGAGGTACCGGCAGCCCCAAGCCCATGGCCAGATGGTAAGTAGAGCCATGAGGTCCTGTTCCTCATTTTCATAGCACATGCACGTAATACCTATTCATACAAATGTGCCTTAGAGAGGTATATCCACTTAAATAAATAAACCGACGGAGCCCAAATATGCAGTATATGTTTTTGAAAGGACCATTTGATGTGCAGGTACAAGAACGGAAAGGAGATCATGGCTGACGACAGGTTCAAGATGGTCGTTGATGAATCCTTCTACATCCTTAAGATCCGCCGCTTGGAGAGGAAGGACAAGGGCACCTATTGCTGCGAGGTACCGCTTCTGTTTAGAGAGGGATTTCGCGGCTATATGAGCATGTGTGTGTGTGTGTGTGTGTGTGTGTGTGTGTGTGTGTGTGTGTGTGTGTGTGTTGTGTTGTGTGTGTGTGTGTGTGTGTGTGTGTGTTGTGTGTGTGTGTGTGTGTGT